ACTTCACCCCAAAGCCATCCACAGCCACAGGGCAGCTTGGGGTGGGTTGGCAAGAGGTCTGCAGGTCTCACAGATCCTTCCTATGAACTGGTCTCAAAAGGGCATGTGAAAACAATGGAGCTCGTGGTGGAGGTGTCAGAGCTCTTTCAGCTCATGAGGTGTAAAGGGGCTGCAATCACAGGCCCCTTCCCCACTGCCTACACTGCCCCGGTCACCCCTGTGTGCCCCTGTGCCACGGGAGACACCAGCTCTGTCATCAGCTTCCCTTGGCACAGGCTTGAGACCTAAAAAGCAGAGGATAAAAATAGCACTCGCATCCAGATGATTAAACCAAATCCCTCTAAAATGCTCTTTTCCCACCAGGCTGCCGTTAGCAGCAGCATGTTTGCCATGGCTGCACTCAGTGGCTGTGTCATCATTCCTGTGCGTGCAAAGTAACCCCCGGGCACCGGCAGCAGCGCTGGGCATCAGTTACCGTCTGCTGGAGGGATAACGAGCCAGAACGTGATCCTCTGCCTTTAAAAATAAATAGTTCACCCTGCCTCAGAGCCTCTGAGAGGGGCAAACAAAGCATTAATAATGGAGACACAGCAAGATGTGAGCCCAGTGTGTCCCACCACAGGAGCACAGTGCGAGATTGGAGCATTGGAGTCCAGGCTCACATCCTGCCACCAGCCCCCACATGCCCAGGCAGATCATGCACCTCCAGCTTCTTAGAGGGGCACAAAACCCAACAAGCATTCAGGGCTTCACATCCCCAGGGCTCTGTTCCATGTGTCCTGTGGGAATAATTGCATGTGCCAGTTTCCATAAGGGCATTGCAAGGCCAGACCTTGGCAGAGCAGAGAGCACTCTGATAGTGTAGCAGCAAGGTGGTCTCTGTGGTCTTTGGATTCATCCTTTTTGTCTCCAGATAAACCCAGAACACCCAAAATCTTGAGTCTGAAAATGCTCATCCCGCTTCTGCCGCCCCTCTCAATCCTACAGTGTTGAGAAGCACATTAAAAGGATAATGGATATTTGTCTGTGGAGAGGCTGGGATGTATTTATAACTCGGCAGTTCAGGTTTCCATCTCACATCCTATTTGCGCTTCTCCATTGAACTTTGTTGCTAAAAAGCTATTAATTTTCACTTGATGCTTCTCAGACCTGGTTTCATCCTCCAGAATTGCTATTAGTGCAAAAAACACTTAAAAAAATACACAGATTAACTATTTTTAATTATTCTCCTGCAAGAGCTGTTCTCCTTTCTGTGTTTAGGATTTTGTTGGTGAGCCTGGAAACACCCTTTATTTACATTTTTTGTGTGCGTAAGTGTTACTTCCTCTTGCACCAAATTGCAGATGTTCCTCATCTGGAACTGGCACATCCTGTGCAGGACATCAGGGCAGAGAGTGAGGGCAGTGGCTCTTCTGGTTGAGCTAAAAATCACAGTCCCCGTGTTGCTGTACTGCTGTCACTTGTTGAACATCAGCCATTACGAAGCAGAGGCATTTTTAGCAATCATTTTTACCAAAACATGGACATTTGTGCAGATTGCCATGTAGCTGAGAAGCAGTGGGGGCTCTTTCTAGCTAAGCCTGTTTAAATGCATTTGATCATTTAAAATCAGATTTTTCATGGTGAAAACTGAAAGAGCTCTGTGTCTAAAGAAGAATCAACAGAGCAGGGCACGAGGAGAGCACTGGACTAGCTGGGAGCTCCAGAAATTAAAGTCTTATATCCTGTTCAATCCTGGGTTAATTTTGTTGCTGTTCAGGCCCCAGATGAGAATATCCAAACCCTCAGGAAATGTCACTGTCAGCACAGGCTGGTTTTGGCTGCTCTGCTCTTTCTTTGTGTCCCCTCCTGGAGCAAGCAGGGATGGGGAGTGGGATGGGATGGCCCAGGACACCTGCCATGCACATGAAACATGGCCAAAAAGCAGAGGTCAGGCCTGAAAGAACAGAGGACTCTGTGCTTTCTGACTGACAGCTTTTAATGGGAGAACAGTCACTCAGCACTGGCATTTCTGCTGCATTAATTGCCATTAGTGTCATCCTTGCGGGAGCACTAAATTCATGGCAAACCTTGAATTAGCACACTCTCGTAATTCCTAACTTAGGCAGAACCATTTGCAGAGGCAGCACGTTCCAAGCAACTGGAGCAGAGACAAGGAATGATACTCAGCTGGGCCTTGGATGTTCAATTAAGAGAAGAAAAGCAGCAGAGGTCACACTCATAACTGCGTATTTATGGTTCTGTTCTGGAAATTCATACAGAGCTGCCAAAAGGGCCCAGCACCATTAATGTGCAGATGTGTGTCAGGGCTCCCAGCTCCGGCTGCCCCAGGCACTGTGTGCAGGCTCTCCCTGCACCTGATTTTCATTTCAGTCTCCCACTTCCCTCCTCCCACCAGCTCCTGAGACCCTGAGAGAAATCCTGGCCTAATAAAGTGGAAAATCTGCCACCATCTCTGATGGCTGTAGCATTCCTACAACAAGGTCAAGGTCTCTTTGCAGAGCAGATCAGTGGTGTTTGACATGGAAACGGAAGAATGTGAAAGAGGGATGGCCACTATTTGTTGCTGATCCCAGTTTTTCAGGCTTGGAAATCCCTGCCCACACTTTGCCAAGCCCATCGCTCTGCAAAGCTCAGGGAAAGATTTGGAATTGGAAATCGCAGTAATTCAAAACTGTCCTTGAATGGCTGTTGACCCAAATTCCTGTTTTCCAGATGAAAGCAGCCCCTGGCTTCCCTGGGGCAGAAGGCAGGAAGGACAAAAGCAAAACCCCAGAACCTACTCTGTTTTATCAGAGGAGAAATATTTCCTAAGGGGAAAATCCAATCAATACTTTGCAATTTCCTAACAATCCATGAATCATTGCAATTATGCAGAGATAATTCAAGCTTTCCAATCCAGCTGCTAAATTAGACAAAAGCATACTCTTAGCACACTCTACCCCCATTTTGACACGTCAGTCAGAAAAAAACCCCTTCAAATATAAAATCCATGCACAGAAATAAAGAAACCCCACTCTTTTTTAAAACCCTGGACCAAATTAAAGGGTCTACAATGTGCAAGGAATTCTATTTTTCAGGTAATTTTGTGCCACAGGTAGGAGTAATGAAAATACATGGAGTCAAAAGGAATTTTTCTGCTGATAGCTCACTTGAATTCCACCATCTGAGTTCTGCAGCTCTAAGAAGAAAAGATATAAGATGAAATAGACCAAATCAAAATTAATTTCTAGATCAGCCTTTTCTTTCCTAACCTTGAGGTTGGAATAAAAAAAAAGACCTGGATCTGAATAGGGACCTATCCAAAAACCAAACGTCATCCTGGTTTTGCTGTTCTTTAGGGGTCTCAGCAGCACTGAAGAGTGGCAAGGGAGCAAAAAAATTAACCACCTTCTGGAGACATTTTTCACTGAGACAATACTATGGAATAAGCAGAAAGGAAGGGAAGTTTTCAATGTGCTTTGGGGAGGAATTGAGTGCACGCCTCGATGACTTGGTGTTCCTTGTGCTGTCAAAATGAAGTCTTCAGTTTCCCACATCCATTTTGGACTCAACACTCATCTCTTTGTCTGCATCCGCTGCCTCCGGAGACATCCCAGCAAGATAACACTGGCAGCCCCAGGATAATTGCTGGTCAGGATACCATTTCATAGAACCATCACTCCAAATCTTCTTCCTCTTACACGCCCTGCCACAGAGGTTTATTTCCTACCTAGAGTCAAAATCTGCTCGATGTTGGTGTTGGTTCCAGACAAATAGAGCGACAGCAGAGCAGCCATTGTCACGTGGCCCATCATCCTCTAATTTGGATTCGAAAGCGCGGCCCTGGGGAATGAAGAAGGCAGTTTGGCTTCTGTGGCCAAGTCATTCTCTGCTGAAACAACCAGCATTGCTGCTTGGCTGTGCTCAGCATGGAGATGTTGTGAAGCTGCACATTTGTACAGGGAGCCAGGCTGAGACTATAGAACTTTGCTCATTAAGATCATTAGAGAGCTGTCTGATGGAACAACTGGGATGGCTTTGATCTGGCAGAATACCCTTCCTCCTGTTCCCAGACCTTGGGAACCATCCAGTTCTCCACAATTATTTTTTTCAAGTCATGCAAACAACACTCTTTGGGTTTTTTATAGGTTGCAATAACTTCTTCAGGAAAACTGCAGGTTGTAACAGCTATAACAAGATTAATTTATTAAATAGAAACCCCGATATTTCAATGATTCCTCTATAAATATATTCACAGTTGGTTTTGCCAAGAAAATGACAAAATGTTTCTGATAATCCCAAAGATATTCCCTATAAATCCACTAGGTGTCCTACTGTTTTCAAGCAATTAGGCTCAAGGTTTGTTTGGGTTTTTTCCCTAGTTTTGCTGGCGAGGAATTAGTTTGAGGCTTTAGTGGAATTAGGTCTGGGTTAGCAGGTTGGAGAGACGTGTACGTGTGGTTTGTGTGACACAGCAGGACATCCGGCTCACGGCGGCAGCTCTTTTGGCAAATGCCACTAATGCTTCCCACAGAGACCAACTCAAGGTTAGAGGCTGGAAGAGAAGAGGGAAAAGAATCTGCCTTCCTCTCTTGGGAATGCTAAACAAGATCCAGCTGAGCCAAATCCTCTTTTCAGTCAACCTTGGTCATCTATTTATAGGACTGCTAAAGTGAGCCCAACGCTGACCTCAGAGGTGGTGGCAGCACATGTTTAACCTTCATCAGAGCTGCTCAGCACAGGCTGAAGTTGTGACATTCCTGGTCACTGCTCCAGTCCCTGATGGGTGTCCCACTGCTTGCCAAAGGCCAGCACAGCACCTGCTCACGAGGTGTCCTGTCACTCCCAACAAGGAGGGCATGTCAAATGCATCCCAAGGAAAGCAAGCTGAAAAACAGCCAAAGGGTAATTTTCTCATCTCAGAAAATACTTGAGGTGGAGTGTGGCCATTGGAGAGTGGCCAGATGCTTGGCTGCTCCCTCATTGTGTGGCCTGGAGCACACACACTGTATCCACCGTGCGATCCAGGACATCCCTCAGCCACCCTGGGATTTGGTGCTTGCGCTGAGCCCCAGCATGGCAGGCTGGAATTCTCTGAAACAGCCATCTCCTAGGTATTGAAAAAGCACCTTCATTATTACAGGGTTTTTCAGTGCTCAGAAGTGTGATGGATCAGTGAGGGACAACTACAGGGTGGTGTTTATGGTCTTGTCACTGAAGCACACATCACATGCTGTGCAATCCCTCCAGCCTTGTCTTCCTGAGCAGTGGTTGTTCCATTGGCAAACACCTCCCCATTCACCCTCATTTCACAGGGCTGCCACAGCTTGAATCTACCCACATCTATGTGAGGCAAGTGAGGAGAAAATCGGTTTTATTTTCTATTTAACAAATGCCAGGGGCAAAGATGCTCTCAAACAATGAGATTCTCTCCTTTTCCAGTAGGTGCTTTACGGCCAGAAGTCCTGCCCAGAGCTATTGGCTGTGCAAACAGGCACTAGGCAAGGTGTCAGCACCAGTTTAATCACAAGCTGCATGGAGAAATCAGAGGGGGAACAAGAGCCTCCTGTCCTTGGCCCGCCAGGATTCCTTGCCATCAGGCATTGTGCATCCCAGGAAGCGCCGAGCATCTGTCCTGTGCCATGTGTTACTGCACTGCCTCTCTTCCCTGCTATTTGTGCTGAAGGTATGACAGTCATTTTCCTGACAACCTGCAAGAAGAAAAGGATCTTCCTCTGTGTGGATCCATAGGCACCTGCTGCAGCTCCACGCAGCGTGCACCATATGTGGCTGAGAGGGGGTTTAACCTGGTCCAGAGTGTGTTTGCTGTGCCACAGAACAAACACCTCGAGCCTTGCCATGATTCAGAGCATTATGTGTGGGAGCCATCTGGTCCCGTAGCTGAAGGAGCAAATGGAAAATCTGATGAAAGCACAAACAGTCACAATGAGAGAGACTGAAAAGATATGTTGATATTCCAAGCAGGAGTCTCCTTCCATGGGGGGTAATCTCATCATCCTCTCTCCTGCTCCTTCCTCTGGAAAGCTGCTGTCAGGCAGGTTGCACTCTCAGCTCAGTGAGTACAAACACCTTTGGAATGCTAAAAATATGTTTCATGTGCTTGAGCAAACCTCCTGAGACAAGAGTTTTCTCAGCAGCCAGCTGTGCAGTGAGTAAGATGTGCCAGCTGCTTTGGAGCACAGCACATTTTACGGAGCTTGGATTGATCCAGAACTCTGGCTGGTTTAAAATGTGCTCTCGATTAGGATTAGTCACTAATATTTTCTCACTGCTGTGCAGAATTACAGCTCATGGTTGTGACAGACTGAAAGGAGTTCCTCCTCAGCTTGCCTAGATGTTCTCAGCCCTGAAGTAGAGATGAATTTTGGAGGGACTGGAGCACTGGGGGAGCAACAAGGAACTCAGTGCAGTGGATAGGGTGGAGTTTAGGATGGCTCGGATTTGTGTATAACATGTCCAGGATATTGGGTTACTAAAATTGTCTGCATTAGATTTTGGAGCCAGTCTGGGTTTCCCCCATTCTGGCCCTGGTTTCTGATGTTTGAAGGGCACAGGGAAGGCAGACAGAAGATGCTTATTTTAGTACATCTCTGCAGGGAATGCACACGTTTCAGACAGGTACACATTTGTTTCCTCTGACACCAAATTAATGGGAATTGATGTATTGATTCTGTAATTCTCCTAAAAATTGCTTCAACTTTTGGCCTGTTCCCAAGCTGGTTAAATGCAATGTGCACACAGTTCAAGATATATATTTAATTATTCTAATATTAATACAGTTTCATAAATTCAGTTCCCTGTGAAATCCAGAAGATAATAGGATTGAGAGCAGTCCAGAAAGGCAAAGGTATCCGAGGCTGCATCCCCAGCATGGACAGCAGGTCAAGGGGGGGATTCTGCCCCTCTGCTCTGTAGAGGTGAGACCCCACAGGCAGAGCTGGGGTTGGAATTGGATGATCTTTAAAGAGCCTTCCAACCCAAACCATTCTGGGATTCTATGACTCAATTATACAATAATAACCTGATCAGTCATTTGTCACTCTCAAGCGTTACATCTACTGTATTTATGAATATTCCCACATTTAACTAATTACATACTGTCAAAGTACCCACCTTATGTACTGTATTTGTAGACTATGGGAGCATCTCTGTGCCATGGAGGCTCCTGGTCCCAGAAGGAGAATGGATCTTGTATTAGGAATGGAGTAAGAGTCTTGCATTTTCTTCTTTGATCACTGTGGCTCTGCTTTTATGATCTCACCAGGAAAGTTACTTGATGTTTCTATATTTTGAGTGTCAGCATGGCTCCTGCAAATGTTTGAAGTCATCCTTGTGCTTCATTTATTTTCCAGCAAACCATCCTCCATCTGCAGTTTAAGAATAGAACATAAAAAAAACTGCATAAAACCCCAAAGCACAGAGCATAGAATTTCTGGGCAAAATTCTCTTCTCACCTACGCTTTCCTAACTCTGGAGTAGTGTCTTCATCTTTCTCATTGTTACTCTGAACCCTGCTTTCATCTCATAGTGTCTGACCCAAAGGATCTGCCATACATGGCTAAATCTGATTTCATCACAACTGTTGCAATATCCTAGACAAAATTACAGTCTCAGAGGAAGTACATAAAGATGCCACGGGCCTCAATATCCTAAAAATATGCTGCTGTCAGTGGTTCCCTGTTAGTAGTTTTCCATGCAAATGAAAATCCTACAGTGGTGGAGAACTGCTGAACTATGTGGAGCAGAGATTTTCTCCACACACACAAGCAGAGAATCTGCACTTTTTGGCTGAGCTCCCTTTTAAAAATTCATGTTTGAGAGCTCTTTCTTTAAACAAAGAAACGGTTTGCTCTAAATTGTTTGGTATTTATTTTGTATAACTCCGTTCCTTGGCTGTCCATGCTATAGAAATGCTGTTAAGCTCCAAGAAGACAGATTGCCTGGGCTGGAAGCCCCAGCCCTGCTCCAGGGAAGCACATGGCTTCCTCACGATGATTAGGATGATTATAATTACTATTCAGTATACAGGGCAATTGTTTTTGGTGTTTAAAACAGAACAAAACAAAACAAAACAAAGCAGGTTTGGAAAGGAAAACAGAACATGAGGAAAAAAAAATAGTTGTTAATAGGAAGTGGTTGACCTTCAGGAAGTAACTCCATATGCAGACTCTGCTATCCAGCATTTCCAGTCATCAGAAAATGGAAAGAAAAAACTGCCTTTAAACATCCCAAAGGCCCTTTAGAAAACAGTGCACCTCCCTTTCAGTAGGTATAACCTTTTACATCTCCTGTCCAACAGCTGCTGGTGTCAAAGGCCAAGCGAGCAGGACGTGGAACGCAGAGCCTGAAGTTTTTCGGCGGTCGCTGGAGGCAGAACCATCTCAAGCTGTAGCAGATGTTCACTGGCTTCCTGTCTGCCTATCAGCCCCACAAAGGCACCTCGGTGTGGTTGTTGTGCCCGGGGTAACTATGGAGACCCCAGCCGGGCTGTGCGGGGCCGATACGCCGAGCGGGCCCTGGCGCAGTCGGCTGTGACCGACCAAGCAAACGTTATGGTTTCTAAGAACTCGCTCTCGTTTTTCCATATGTACATGAGTCATTCCCCCCACACGGCAAGGAAGTGGCAGAGCACAAAATCACTTCAGAAATGCCTTTCTGAGGTGAGGGTGTTACTTTGGCTTCAGTGCGTTCACGTTTCATATGTTGTTTCTAGTACACCGTATAGATCCTACCAACTGTATTCCTCCAGAGCCTGGAATATGTTCCAGAAGAGAGTTCTTAACCATCAGTTTAAATATCATTTCCACTAAACATTTTTCCTTGCTGTTTTAATTCCTGTTTATATTCATCATGAGCTCCTGTAAATTATAACTTTGATATGAATGATTATATGCAAGTGTTAGAACAGTGCTCAATCTATTTTAGGGCTTTGAGATAGTTTAATGAGACTGATTTTTACACTGATGCATTTAAATTAATATGCATTCCCAGTGCAGGCAAGACCCAGGGCAATTAAGTTTATTACTTAATAGACAGGAGTGCTTTTCCTCCATGAAATAGAAGAAATAAAGGAATTTACTTTTTATAAATTCTAGCACAGATGTTTTGCTTTAATAGTGACAGAAAAGGATGGTTTTGGAATGGTTCCTGTGCCCATGCTGAAACTGGAAACCAAAAGTGACAGCTCTGATTTACCAGTGGTAGAAATGGTTACAGATATTCCCATGGGAAACAAAGGATTTCAAAGGAACAGTGTCTCTGTTGGTGTTTGCCACATATCAGGGAAAAAGGTAAACATTATTGCCATTTTTAAATTGTTGGTAGCATTGCAAATCCCTGTTGACCTGGAAAATGCAAACAGTGGGCACAGTGGTCTCTGGAGTGCTCCTTCTAGGGGTGATAATCTGTGAATTACAACTTTTTTATGGCCCATGTTCCGGGAGGAACTGAAGCCCTTTGGGACAACTGGTTCCAGGGGAAGTAGGTGTGGATATGCTTTTGAGAAAATGAGCTTCCATATGAAAGCTGTGGACCTAAAATTCAGTCACCTTCCTGTCCCCAAAGGCAAGCAACAACAAGGCAGTGCATGAAAGAAATGAGAAAAGTTGTTGAGATCAGGATATGAGGGACTTTATGCAAAGGACAGACTTGCAGGCAAAGGTGGATCTGATGAATGCAGCGATGGAAACTGCCTGAAGCTTCCGGGAAAACACCACAAGTACAAAGCTGAAAGAGGAAAAGAAGGAAAAAGGGGACCCAGGGATTAAACTCAGATGAATTGGGAATGTGGAGGAGGTGAATACAATTGTTTTGGTGAGTTCCTGGAAGGGATACAGTAAATATATTTTTAAAGCAACATATTGGCACTTGACTGGATAAGAGAGTTTTTGTTTGAAGTATTTGAAAATTGAGGTCAGTACTTAGACTTAGACTGTAAGGGGTAGCACAGTTGGAAGCAGGATGGATGAGATGGCTTAACAGGGCTTCATTGTAGTCAAATTAATTCAGTTTAAATAATTAATTCTCTTTTAAATTGACTCCACTCTGCACACTTGACATTTTGGAAAAGCTGCCATTGCTTGGCCTTCTGGTAAATGGTTTTGCATCTGTTTTCCATTGTTTCCCTCTTGAAAAACAAATCCTTGTCACTAACAGGAACCATCAGCAGCATGGAACAAATTGACTTGCCAAGGACATTTCCTCCAATTCCATTATTTATACTGGAAGTCTTTTTGTTGTATCGAGAGTCAGACTGTGATTTTTAAAAATTGCCATTTATTAAGGTAGTTTTTTACTGTGTTATGAGTCAAATTCAAACTTGGTTATGTGAATTACTTTCTTTGCATCAACATTGGTCATACTTTTTTCAAGGAGGTGATGAACCAGTTAAATTAATCACCAATTCACAGTTTTCTCTGCTTACCTGGTTTTGTAGAGCCCCTTACTGTTGCAGCAGAGGATGCCCAGGTATGAGCCAGACCAGATACACCACTCTCCCTCCTCTGCTCTCAGCACATTGATTTTGAGCCTCAACTGGCTGAGATTGAGAGGATCCATAATATTATTTGGCACAAATTGGGTTAAACAAATAGGGTTCGTATTTTACTCTCAAGGTGATTTGGTTTGTATTTGCTCTCATATCCTTTCTCAGCTGCAGGCTGTGGGCCAGTTGCTAAGACAGTGTTCATCTCCTCTAAACCCCCCCATGGCAGCGGCAGGGATACATGGCAAAGGAACACAACCATTAATTTGGGGGGTCTGATGAGTCTGGGGGCTCCCTCAGGTAACCTGGAGCCAACTCCCAGAGAGCTCAGCAAAGGGCAGAGCCTGGGCTGACCTAAATTCACGGTGACTCACCGGGGAGATTTACTGTTGTTACTCTGTTTTGCCCGTTTCTCAGCAGTTGCTCACACTTGCAACATGGACACTCTTACCTGACCCAATCAATAGATGAGCAGTTAGGAGCCAATATAATACAAGATAATATTGTAATAAGAGAAGGGAACATTCCAAAGCAGTTACAGAAGGATTTCAGATAATTAGGAGTTGGGCAGTGATACAGATACAGAAAAAGCTTCACCCAAGATAAAATAACAGATACTAAAAATATCTGTATTGAGATGAAATCCTCATGACTCAGTACTTGAGCCAACCTCCATTCTCTAGGAATTAGTAAGATAATCATGCAAACAGGGCAGATCGTGGTCTATCACCTTGCTCCGGGCTTACACTTCCACTTCAAAGACGCATCTTAGGCTGAAAAAGGACAGACTCGGGTCTGAATTTTCAGGGAAATTGCAGATTTTTAAGGTATGCTCTGTAGCTGTAGCTTTTTAAAAAAATGGTGGGTTTATTTCTACCTAGAAAAAGTTGAATAGTGAACACTCTGGGTCTTGAAAGGCAAAACCACTGACAGCAGGACCCGAGACACATTCTTTATATCAACCAGAACATAATTTTAAATACCTGTGACTCTGTAGCTAATAGCTGAGGAGTGATGAATCCAGCTTGCAAACAGAAACATGAAAGTGCCATTTCTTCCTTTTTTTTCATTCTGCACGATGTGTTTCCTAACTAGATGCATAAGTATTGAAAGTCCTGTAAGTATTTAAAGTATTTGGAAAGAAATGAGTATTTCGAAAAGTATTTTGACTTGCTGCAGAGCTTCAGGAAAGCAGAAATCTGTGTTAGGACAACACCAGCCAAAATCTGGGTCAAATTTCCCGTGCAGATGTGTCAGAAGCATTTTCTTGGAAGCTCTCCATGACAGTTAGTGAGAAGAGTGACCCAATGTTTTCTCACTGTACAAAATAACCGTTCTGTTTGATGATGTCATGGGCATGAAGCACTGCTTGTGTTTTCACAGCCCAGGCCTGTTTAAGCTTGTTTGGGAGCAGAGATTTCTTCTCTCAGAACACTCTCAAACAGGGAGTCTGGCAAATCTCTTTGGTACATCTCGACTGATCTCAATCAGTTTTCGGAATTTTAATGATCTGGGTTTATTTCCAGATAATGACTATTTATGTAAATGAGATGCCTCATAAATAAATACGGGAATTTTTCCATAATATTAATTACAGGCTTTATGGTTCAAACACTTAATATCCTAAAGGTGCTGTGTAATATACTAAATGGTGCTGTGGATTGTCTTTGAGTTTATTGACTTAGTTATTTTGTTATTATATTTTAACTTGACTTACATATATTGGACTGTGTTTCCTGAAGTAAAAGAAGCTGTGCAACGTGCCTGGATACATCAAATGATATCAAAGGACCATAAAGATCAAAATGCATCATCATACAGTGGAAGTAGCAAATGGAACCCAGATTTCAGAATGTTTTCATGTAAGAATCAAATAAATTAGTTTTACTTGGAGAATCTCAGCTTAAGTGTTGTTAGCCATTTACTCAAAAATGAGATAGTTCTAAATTAATTATAATCCTTTGCACTTCTATTGCTGCTTCTCTTGAGAATCTCAATAGTGTTCTACAAACATTAATTAAGCCTAATAGTACTCCTGAGAAGTGGTTAACTGACAGATACACTTCACCCCTCATGATATAAGTGAACTCTAGAACAAAACACAAAAACTTTAAACAGCAGGACTACACAAGAGTTTAGAGCCTGAAGTAAGTCAGGCAAAACTGTGGGGAATGCTTAGGTAATCGAATGCAATTGCTTGGCGTGGGCAGGATTCGAGGATAAATAAAAGTGCAAATAATGAGGAACTGAGATCTCTAGTGAAGGAAAGTGGGTTTTTATCTGATGTGAGAGGAGATACCACAGCGCCACAGTGTCACGTGGCTCTGGGTGGTGAACTGGACAGATTCAGAGGAAAACTGCTATTTGCAGAAATCACCTCCAGATGGGCCAAAGAGCCGGAGCCCACATGGAACCTTTCAGGCTGATGCCTGAACAGCAGGGACAGCAGTTAAGTCCTTCTCTCACCCCTGAGGGTACAGGAGCTGCTGAAAATAGCAACAAACCAGCAGTATCAGTGTGTACACTGACAGCCCCAGACTGTTGTGTTTGCTGGCCAATCTGCATGCACAATTTCCTTCCTGATATTTCTCCAGAAAGAGCAGCTTTTGTTATCTTGCCCTACTGATGACAGCAATACTTAAAACAGGTTAGTGCTGGCACACACAGTGAGTTGGCTTTGGTACATGCATTAGGACTTGGACCATCCTCAATCAACCCTCCTGCTGTCCCGTTCCCACAAAATGTGCCACAAATATTTGTCTCAGAGCTTCCAGGGCCTATGGGAAGAGCCATTCCAGAACATGCTCCAGCTGTGCACAGTTATTTGCCTGCTAACAACAGGACAAGAGGTATGGCATCACCTGCTTGATTCCCCCAACCCACAGCAACACAGCAAAGCACAAAGTTAACTGTTTTCTCCCTGATTAATCCCAAAGGCTGTCCCCTGGGGCTCTTACCAACCCATCTTTGAGAGCTGCTCCATGCTGCAGTGCCTCGTGAATAGTTTTAGCAGTTGCTGAGGGAAACTTTATGATGCACAGTCAGAATTCTCAGATGCACACTCTGAAATCTTGAGGAAGCAAATCGGCATTGGAAAGTGGAATGATAATGAGTTTGCATCAGAATTTTATTTCTAGAAATGACTTGGAAGCAGTTGGATCTCCTCCTTGGATACATTTTTCTTTCCTTTTTGTTTTCCAGCATTTCTGTGCTTCTGGGACCACAAACTCTCACATAAATATTGGCAATACATCCTTGCTGAGAAAGTCTACCTACTGGAGAAAAATCTGCTCATTTTATCCAAGCAGAACACCTAGACAATGCAATTAGACAATCAGACTTTATCCTTACTCATATACAGTAACATTCTTAATTGCATTTGTGAATTGTAGTTCATGACATACATGACTCTGATGCCTAATGAACTGCATGCTTCTGCTGAGTTCGGTGGCCTTTGGATCAGACCCTGTGTTTGCTCCATTTCCCATATTTTTAGCTGCTTCTGTAAGTTCTTTACCTAGAGAAAGGTCTGAAACTTCTTTTTTCCCCCCATATATGCATGATAACTCTATTGCCTGTTGTATAATTTATAGTCAGTAGTTTCCCTGGAGTGCAAAAGGCTTTTCAGAAATACTATACTTGAATCAGTAAAAGGAAGGGTAGCTGCACTGTTGTACTGCTGCATCATAATATTTAGATACTTTATTATTTCATAATCTGTCCTAGAATTTAATCATTCTGAGCAGGGACAGTCTCTTTATGTAAAAAGGGATAAGTTCCAGATTTTCAAATATGCATATATTAAAAAAACCCATGAAGATGTTGCTTCATTTCTAGTGTGATCCCATCTTGCCAAAGGCTCCATTTCAGTGCATAACCCTCCGGATGCAGATCCATTACTGCACCATAAAGTGGGTTACTGGACAGGGGAAGGCAATTCGTCCTCTGAAATGCACAGTCTTGTTTTGCCAGTTATGGAGTTTATAATTATCCATTATCATTATCTTTATGATTGTTTTTACCAAGGTTACAGATAGGTCTATTCGAAAGATGCTCTGTTGGGTTCTCTTGGAGCCTCATCCTTCTCCCCGTAGGTGTAAATGAGCAGTGCACACAGCACAGCCAAGTGAGCTCAAAAGGAATAAAACTGGTCAGAAAGTGAACAGACTAAGCCCTAAATTGCACACTTAAGACACTGAAATCGTTTTGCCTATGGAAGCCAACCTCTGCCAGGAAAAACTGGGAATAGTAATAGCTGGGGTTTATTTAAAGCACTGCTGAAGTCTCATGAATTATAAATCATCACATCTCACAATCCTGGGACAAAGTCAATTACAACCACGTCCTGGGACAAGGAAGTCCTCCCTTCTATTCCTGGCTCTGTCACTGACCATCTGCCACTTGTCCTCTGCCTTGCTGGAGTTTACCCATGTGTAAAACACAGTTAAAATAAGCTAAACCATACTCTGAAAATTACTTGAGTGCCACAAGGTAGAAATTTGGGGTTGTAACATGGAAAGAAATGGTTCTGTGGTTGCCAGTCTGCAGAAAGCCACCATGTCTCGCTGGCTGCACTCCGGGGGAGGCTAAATCTGGCTGCCAGGGCTCCACCCTGCACTTGAGAGGCAGCAGAATCCCACAGAAATGCCTGGTGCCAGCCCACCTGCACTGCGTGCAATTGTTAACTTGTTTAATTAACTTACTACGCACAACAAGAATCTGATCCAACACTGACTGGGGTTAATAGGAAGAATTCTGCTGACTTAATGATCTTGGGGTTGGTCTCCACGTGCATGTAGAGACCACTGCCCAGAGATCCTGAAAATCCCAGGGAAGGGAAAGGCTTTGTTTGAGTGACACATAGACACATCTCTGTGCAATGAGCCTGGTAGGAGCTGGGCACACAGTAAATCTGTCTCTGCCTGTACAGTAGCACTATTCACTGGTGCTGCTCTTTATTCACAAATAAATACAGCACTGCAGCCATGATTCCTCACAGACCCTTTTGCACATGGTTTCAGATGAGCCCTAATGTGGAAAATTGATGACAAGCTACGCAGGAAAGCTTTGCAGTGAGATTTGTTAGGAAAGGTGACTTGACAAAGGTGGTGACAAGCTAATAATGAAATGGAACATTGCAATTAAATGTGCTGGTGGGGATGAAAGTGTGCCAGAGCCGAGAGTGTGAGCAGCAGGTAGGTCAGGGAGAGAAAGCAGCAGAGGCTTGATGGAATCGGGTGGGAAGGAGGGGGAGATGTAAGAACAAGAAAGACAGGACAGAGATAAGCACCGTTGGCTGTGATGGCAGCATTGGGCAGAAACTCCTCTGGTGTTTGTGTCAGGCCTTGCACAGCGAGATCCCCATCCTCGACAGCAATTTGTTGACCTTGACACAATGTGTAATTAAATGCAGATAATCCTAGAAGGACAGAAATGGTGGAGGGAAATAAATCAACAGCAAATCAAAGACATCTACAAAAAATTTTACCTATAAAATGAGCTGAAAACTGCCACAGAATATTTAAGAACTTTGTTTCTCTAAAATGAAAGTTTCCATTACGAACAGTCAAGAATATTTTCATGGCTGTGAACTTAAACCCTGCAAAGTGAACTATTCGTACATCTGTGCGGGGATTTTGCCTCAGTATAACAGCAGCTGAAACAATACTCTTAGAAGTAGGAACATACCCATTAATCTTGGGTGTTAACACTGAAGGCTAAAAATTATGCCCACGTGAAAAACCAGCAAAGGCAGAGAGAACAGAACACTTTGCATATCAAAATTACTATCACAAGCCACTTCACCATTGCTATTTACTTGAAAAGCATTTCCAGGATTAAAACATAGCAGAAACTGATTTGGAAAAATTTCTACCAGCACTTTAAATAATTTAATGCTGCTGCCCGGGTAGAGACTGGCTTGTGTCAGCTGTGGCGTTTCCTACCTGAGGGGTAAGAGGAGCAGCATTTCTGCTATAAACAATCAAATTAATAAAAGCATGTGGGGGAAAAAAGCCCTGTTCTGTACTTTTTTGCTTTTATATTCTCCTATTTGGTCGGATTTCTCAGAGGGATGAGGTAAACCAATACAGCAGGTTTGAACACATTCACAGTACAAATTCAGAATTTCACATGGATCTTGTGTCTTTATGACGAGCCACATCTAAACCCTCAAGCCAAACATCTAGAAGGGAGGGAAGCTTGAATTTAAAGCCAAAATTGTATGGTGGGATCCTATCCCTAAACATCACTTTGGTATAAAATTTGGATACTCAGGGTTGCAGATGTCAGAAAAGTAGTATTTCTGTGTTGGTACAGGCAGGAGGACTCCTTCTGTAGCGCTCAGCAACATCTTGACACGCTGCACTAATCTTAGCTGCGCGCACTTAAAAGATTATTTTTGTCCCGGGTTCTTTTTCTAGTCTTTGATGCAACAGCCTGCTGCGGGTTACATCAAGCCTGCAGAAAATCCCTCGGTTTTCTCAACCCTGGTTTTCCAGACAGCCGGCACCTCCTCCGGGTCCAGGCGACGGGCGCCGCAGGTGAGCCAAATCCCGGCCTATTTGGGCCGGAGATTGATTTCTGTTTAAACTAAAGATGCCGTTTAGATCAGAGGGCTGAGGTGGGGGGAGGTCTGCGGTCTGTGCGTTGCGTTTTAGACGCTTTCAC